TTGCTCATTAATAGAGCTATCGCTTCTTGTGCTTAAAGCCCACATTCTTCCTAAAGACACATTTCTGGGGAGACTAGACAGATTTCGCATCTAACAGGGGTTGAGGTAGGAAAAACCATTGTTCTTCATTACCGATTCGGAGTTTGCAAATTAGCGCTGTGAATTTCAGCCGATTCTTCAAGGCCAACGAATTCATTAGCCAACGAAGATTGACTCTGGCTGGTGTCTGGTTTTCATCTGATGCACACTTTATTGGGGCGGCCTGCCTGATGAGTCTGTTCTGTATGATGGCCGTGCCTCTGCCGTTGTTTGTGCCCAAATTGGCCATGTCCCTGGGGGGGGGCATCATGGAACTGAAGCCTGGTTCTTAGGGGGCACTGGGTTGGGATGCCGGTGGTACCAGTGGTGTCTCTGATGGTTTTAAGAAGACACACTTGCTGGTGTAACGAGAAGTAAATGTCTTGGGCTCTAGAGCAGCTTGATTTCTAGTCCAGACCTTGCTTGGCTCCAGAATATCAGGGAGGAGAGGGATCCCATCAGATCCCTGTGGGAATGCAGACTTTGTTCTGGGAGATCCCATATGCAGAGAGCGGATTCCTTCTGCCAGAAGGTGTGTCATATGATGCTACCTTTCATGGTCCACAAAGTGGTGGTTGGCTGGGCTCTCATCGCCATCACCATGGCCCCTTCTGGAATCTGCAAAGGCCTCTGGCGGGTGGGCGAATTGCCATGCCAGTTTCTGATATGAGCATGAAACTAACTTAAAGACCAAAAGCACAGCAGCTTATGTAACTCTGAAGCACCGGGGACTTTAGCCCAGAGAGGGGATAAATTCCAGCGAAAAGCACACCACATTACGGGGTTGTTCCTGAAGCCTGATCTGTGGTCCTCACTTCCCAAGGATGTGGAGAGTGGCCAGGGCCCCTCCATGTTGCCTGCAGGCTGCCTGTAGCCATAGGCAGGGGGATCCGGCCTGCTTCTGTGTTTCTGCTGGTTTTATGGGCATATTTCTCACACCCTGTTCTGCTATTAAAAATAAAAATAAAACGAGGCACACATCACATGTCTCCGGCTGCAAGACCCATTTCCTTCTAATAAGCTTCTCATTTGCCTGGGCGTTCCCTCCCCTGGAAAGATTAAATCTCCAGAGGCTTCCATTATGGATTTCTAGTTTTGTACTTTTTTTCCTCCCTCTCTGTTATTTTGAAAGAAAATGAAGTTAGTGAGCTTTGTCTGCACACACACACACACACACACACACACTCTCTCTCTCTCTCTCTCTGTCTCTCACTCTCTCTGTCTCTCTCTCTACTTGGGAGCCAGGATCAGAAATTCTGGGCAAACAGCGAAGTGCAGCTTTGTCCCACTTACCTGGGGGCCGCAGAAAACAGAACTCCGAGCTGGTTTTTACCTGTGCTGTGCTGTTTTGGGCTGGAGCAGGGCTGACCTGCTTACTTACTGCAGATGGCAAACTATGGGGGTGTGAAGCCTCAAGGGATCACGTCCCTTTCTGGCAGGCCAGCTCTGCGGTGGCCTCCGTCTGACTCCTGCAGCCCAAGGGTGAGGTGGCTCTAGGAGTAACCCGGGCAGTGAGGTGGGGGTCGGGAGGCACACCCATCAAGGCCTTTATTTCTAGGCCAAGTTCACACACATCCTCGATCAGGCCTCTCCGGGGTGTCCAGTGTAAGGATACAGCCTTGTTCATTTGTGAGATCTAGGGCATATGCAGGGGGATCACAGGAATGAGGCCAGACTCTGTCACCCTGTCAACAGAAGGGAATTGCCCTGTCGGAGTGATCGAAACAGCCAGGGAGCTCGGGATTGAGTCAGAGGGACGGCGAGTGGAGATGTGCCTCGGGAAAGGAGGACAAGGGGCCGAGCTCAGCGTGTAGCCGGTCATCCAGGTGGCCCACCTAAGACCCTGGCGCCTCTTCTTTGACTCCAGGCCAGGCCCCTGTCATCATCTGACATTTCCTACTATTGCATGGTATATGCCAGCTCTGAAGTAGAGCCCCATTAGAGAGGCTAGAAGGAGAGCCAACCCAACTCGTTTTTCAGATGGGGGCCATCGAGGCTGAGGGAGAAGCCTGCCCTGGGTGTAGGGTAGGGCCAGACTGACTTCCTTGTGGGCTGACTCCCACCTCGGGAGACCCTGCATCTGCATCCGCCTGCCCTCGGCATCTGGGCTCAGGCCATGTGAGGCCATGGTCTCCGCCCCACTGTCCTTGAGTGTTGTGTGCCATGACCTCATGCTGAGCAGTGACTCTAAGCTCTTTCCGGGCCACCTGGGACTTGGTAGGAAAACATATGTCTGCCTGAGGGAATCTTGGGCATGTTTCATGGGCGAGAAAAGCCTAAAAGTGCAGACAAACCCCTTGATTCAGAATTTGGACCAGACTGAAATTATTTCTTTATCCTCAATGGAAAAAAGAGGGGTGTTTGAACAGTAGATTAATAGGGTATGAAAGAGAACACAGGCTTCCTGTTCTTCTCTTAAACACTTTAACAATGTCCACAGATCCCCAGAAAAGGTCTGGAAGGACCTTGGGGATCCTCGTGGCCAACCCAGCTCATTTTACACATGAACAATCTGAGGCCTCAGGGTTTGGCTGCGGACCTAATTAGCTAATGCGCCTGGCCAGGAGCCTAGGGTCCCAGCTCACAGGCTGGTCTTCTGTCTGCTGGAGCCCACACTTATTCTCAGAAAGCACTGAACATGCAGAATTAGTATTGATAGTGAATTTGCTACTAATACACGAGCCCTACCTATTGAGACCCATCATCCATTGAACAGCGGTCTGTGTAATGCCTCCTTCAAAGTGTCAGTGGGAATACAAAGATGAATTAAGTGTATGAAGAGGTGATTTCTGATACATGTAAGATACATACAAGACACATACAATGATACATACAAGAGATGTATGATTTCTGCACCAACCATCGTGTCTTTAGATGGGATGGGCTGACGTCATGAGAAAGGAACGAACGAACCACTGAACAGGAGCAGAGAGGGAGAGACACTGGCCATGGTGGGCAAAGACATTTTTGTGGAACCCACAGTTCCTGACTCAGCCTTGAAGGACCGACAGGATTTGGGCAGCTAAAGAGGAAGGCAAGGCATTCCAGGTGGAAATCCTGGGATGGGAGAGGGCAGCAGTCTGAAAATCGGGCCCCAGAGGTATCAGGTCCTCAACCTTGGAACTTGTAAATATTTCCTTGGGGGGAAAAAAAAAGGCTTTTGGAGATGTTAAGCTGAGGGTCTTGAGATGGGGAGCTTCTCCTGTGTTATCTGGGTGGGTCCTAAATGCCATCACAAGTGTCCTTAGAAGTGGAAGGCAGAGGAAGATCACAGACAGAAGAGGAAAAGTGGGGTGCCTGGGTGGCTCAGTCGGTTAGGCGTCTGCCTTAAGCTCGGGTCCTGATCCCAGGGTCCTGGGATCAAGCCCCGCATCAGGCTCCTTGCTCGGTGGGAAGCCTGCTTCTCTCTCTCCCTCTGCCTGCCACTCCCCCTGCTTGTGCTCTCTCTCTCTATCAAATAAATAAAATCTTTATTAAAAAAAAAAAGAGGAAAAGGTGATGTGGCCACAGAGGCAGGGATTGGAGGGACCTGGCCACAAACCAAGGAATGCCGGCAGCCACCCAAAGCTGGAAGAGGCAAGGGACAGATTCTGCCCTAGGAGAGCACAGCCCTGTCCCCAACTTGATTTTGGTCCAGTGATCCTGATTTCGTACCTCGGCTTCCAGATTGTGAGAGAAGAAATTTCTGTTGTTGGGCGCCTGGGTGGCTCAGTCGGTTACGTGTCTGCCTTGGGCTCAGGTCATGATCTGGGATCGAGCCCCATGTCGGGCTCCCTGCTCCACAGGGGTTCTGCTTCTCCCTCTCCCTCTGCTGCTCCCCCTGCTTGTGCTCTCTCTCTCTCTCCATCAAATAAATAACATCTTAAAAAAATAAAAGAAATTTCTGTTGTTTTTAGCCACAATGTTTGTAGTGATTTGTTACAACAGCCCCAGGAAATTCATACAAATGGGAAGGGGCCAGAGCTTGTTTGGGTAAGGGTGTGGTTCCAGGTGTTGCCCAGGAGCATAGTCAGCTATTTCGAGAAGCAGTAGGTAAACGGGTTAGGGCCAGTGTCGATGAAAAGTCAAAGCTAGCCAAGTCTGGTGCTCAGACACCATTGATGAACCTGTCATTTTCAGACTCTGATCTCGAATTCTCCACGCCATGCCTCGTGGCGGTGTGATGTGTTAATGCTCAGCCAACCCAGGACCGACAGGTCACGGGGGCTCTGGAGGGAGGGGTTCTGGGCCAAATGCGGAACAACTCAGGCTGGGGTCAGAGGATGGGCGATCACCTGCTGAGTGGGATGGCCTTGTTGATATCAGATCCTCTGCTGGCCTGGAGAGAATGTGATTAAAGATGCCTTTTTTGGGCTTTTATGACAGTCTTATTGATCTGAGGTTGTGTATAGCCGTAAAATAGCTGTAAATTAGAGGATGAAATAAAAACAGCAGGATAGTAACTCCTGTCTTCCTACGGGGTTAAAAAAAGCCTTCTGCCCAGCTCCACCTGCAGCAGGGGGCTGATACACGAGCCTGCAGAGGGGAATCTTGTTCTTGTTTCTGCAAACGAAGTGCCCGGGTTAAGAGGCAGTCCTGTCCTCAAGGCTGAAACCTAACCTGTTCGTTCCTGCCCAGGAAGTGTCCTCAGCGAACACAGGTCTCCGCTGGGACCACCGTCGAATTGTGCGGTGACTGTGGTGTTTTAAGGATGCTTGGGGCTGGTTTTCTTTTTTCCTTTACCCCTTCTCTTCCTTTCCTTGTTTTTCATTCCTCTTTCTTTCTTTTGTCCCTCTTTTGGCCGCTCTTTTATCTGATTAAAGGGTTCTGACATATTAGTATTTGTAAGGCCGTTAGGAGTGTTCAGTAGAGGATCACTGGTAATTTCAATGCAACAGACCAAGCCATGTGACCATCGGACTTTGTTTGCTTTCCCCTTGTAGAGATCCGAGAGGCCTTTCGGGTTCTGGACCGAGATGGGAATGGCTTCATCTCCAAGCAGGAGCTAGGAATGGCCATGCGTTCTTTGGGGTACATGCCGAGTGAGGTGGAGCTGGCCATCATCATGCAGCGCCTGGACATGGACGGTGAGCCCCGGGCGCACAGCGTGTCCCCCAGGATGAGCCCCGGCTCATCAGTGAGACCTTGGCTTTGAAGGGCCTTGCACTTGGGGTCAAAAGGCTTGGGGTCATGTCTTGGTTTACATTTGAGGGCTAGACCAAGGTTGTTCCAACAACACTCCGTGCAGTCCCTGGGGCCTGCAAAGGTGGTTCTGGGGCCACTGGAGGGAACAGGGTGAGGGAGGTGGTCTGGCCGCTGGAACAGCCACCACAGATCTTTCCTCCTCTCCTCCCTCTCTGTTCAATAGCTTTACGGAGATAGAGTGCACATGCCATAAAACTCACCCATTTCAACAGTGTGATTCAATGGCGTTTAGTGGATTCACAGATTGGGGTAACCACGCTGTAATCAATTTTAGAGCATTGTCACCACTCCAAAAAGAAACGCGACCTTTCAGCTGCCACCTCGCATCTCTCTATCCCCCAAGCCCTAGGCAACCACTAATCTACTTTCTGTTTCTGTGGATTTGCTCTCTGGACATTTCATATAAGATGGAATCCTACAATGTGTGGTCCTTTGCGACTGGCTGCTTTTACTTAGCATAATGTTTGCAAGGTTTATCCACATTATAGCATGTATTTGTACTCTTTTTTTTTTTTATGGCCAAATCATATGCCATTGTATGGGTATAATAACAGTTTCTTTTCTCTCTCTTTCACTTACTGGGTTTCTATATACAACCTCACCGGGGAAAAGGGTTTCACTGTATTTTAAAAGTTCTAAAAAGTGACACATGACATCTTTAAGGTTCTTTCCTGTTCCAAAACCCTGAGGCTATCCCAAACCAGTTGTGACCCTCCTGACATTTAGATTCTGCCTTGGCTGAAGGTCCAAGAAAAAGCCTTCTTCTTCTTCTTTTTTTTTTTTTCAACACACACTCGCCCCCTCTGAAAAGCAGCTCAGTCCCAGGCCTCAGGGGGTCCAGAGTGGTGAGCATTGGGACTCTCAGGTAGAACATGAAGTATACAAGGAAAAAACAGGAAGCAGAGCATGGGGTCAGGAAGTCCCTTGGAGGAAAAGACTGTGGTAGGGAGATGTTTGCTTGGCCTGCAGCTGATTGGAAGAACCAGCTCTGTCCTGTTATCTCACTGGAATTGCTGGAAGGATGATAATAAGGGTGACCATATGGTGAATGAACTCCAGCACCAGCCACCAAGTGCAGCTGTGGACATTTATTTTCTGGTTCAGGAAAGGGATGTTTCATCAGTGGTATAAGCAGTCCCAGCCTTGTCCTTAAAACTCTGATTGATTGTGACTCACCATGTCTTTGCAGGACCGATTTGACCTTGCTTTATATTTAGCTGCTTGCTTTAGATATTTCTGAAAAGCTAGAGCAAAGCACAAATCATATAGCAAAATCTGTTTTCCACTGACCCCCATCATCATTTCGGAGATACATTTCCAGAAAAGGTTTCCTCCTTAAAATAATAGAAATCTTAAGCTACACTTCCATTTTTGGGACAAAGATTCTGTGCTTTTGATTCTTCGCCCACAACTCCTGTAACAAAACCTAGTCGAATGGACTACAAGCAAATGGAATTAGCAACATTTAATAAAAACGAGCCAGCCCTACTGTGGGTGAGTTACTCCTCTGAAATGGAAGGGTCTTCATCAAAGTCCATCCTACTTCTTTGCGTATTCACTCCTTGGGTCTCAGCTCACAGGGAGTTTTTACATTGTCGCAAATCCTCCCTGAGTCCATGAGGTCTTAGAGGCCCAGGGGATCTTGTGTGTCCCGGGTGTGCAAGGGACCCATCGGGACTTGGGCAGAGCTCCATATGGGATTCAGTTTAAGAGCTTCCAAGTTTTGCTCATTTATTTACAACTTACATACTCAGCTACCAATGCCAAAGGCAGAACTTACCAGAACTTAAAAGGACTAAGCTGTTCTCTTGTAGAGAATTTCTATTCGTTCCTTTAACAAAAGCTCGGGTTTAAAAAAAAAAAAAAAAAGCTGAGGTCATCAGCTGCTTCATGGTGATGAAATCATGTCAAAACACGTTTCTTTACTTTTGAAGTGCAGCTTCTTTGAGGTTTTGTTTTGTTGCTTACAAAAGATTTAATGCAGCAACATGAAGACAGAGCAGTGATGTACGTAGAAGGAATTGCTCCAGCCGTTTATTAATTGCCTAAGTGTTAAAGAACTAAGTGCAGGATGCCCAGTCTGAGGCTGAAATGTGTGTATTTAAGAGTTCTGTGAATGAGGCTGGTAAGTGGGATTTCTGGGGTACTGCATTCTGGATATGGGTGGACTGTGTCTCATGTCCTTTGCTTAATGGGCCTTTTGAGCTTCTGTTAAAAAAAAAAATAGGTCCTAATTATATCCTTCCTTTCTAGCTTCTGTAACTGGGGGTTCTCCACAGAGATTTGGCCTTACTGAATTAAGCTCTTCTTTGGCATGAAACTTGTGGAATGGCAGACATTTTTATGGGGACACTGCTCAAAAAATGGGGTGTTTGGGCTGGAGCTTGGGATTCCTAGCCATAGGCTGACGGTGCCTCCGGGCTCGCAGACCCTGGTGTCCGGGGGACAGCAGGAGATGGGGCAGTGCCTCTGTCCACCGCAGCTGGCTGTGATTAGGAGCAGGTCTGGCCCACACACCGACCTTCTCTTTCTGGGGTCCCTGCCAGTTTGCCCGACAGTGAGGTCATCCCTTTGGCACGAGGGATATAGGCTGAGTGTGTCTGTGCAACTGAAGTTGACACATGAGGCTTTCATTAGGTGGTTCCTTGGGAGTGGGGTGCCTTGCTGCCTAAGCATGTAATAGTAACCTGCCTGGATTAGGGAGCTCGGCGGGATTTCCTGGACACGGAGCCTGCAGGAGCCAGACAGTTCCAGTCTGTGTGTGGAGCTGGTTTTCCAGAGGACACAGTGCGAGGCAGGCTGTAGGGTCTGGGATTGCTCTCTTGGCCTGTGGCCAATTTGCCTTAAGTGCTGGGACTCTGTATGCGTGTGTGCATGTGTGTGCTCGTGCGTGCACACGCACAAACACACGTGCGCTGATGGGCAGATCTGCTCCGAGTTAAATAAACAGAAAGCCAGAATTTGTGCCCGAGGCCCATTGCTTCCTCTTTGGCCCTTGGCGGCAAAGGTTCTTTCTTGTAACTTTTAACTCAATTGCACACCCCCTGGTGCTCGCGGTTCTTCTCCCCTTTCCAGCCTCTGCAGCTGAGGTGACTTACGCCCTAGCACCAGGAGGGAGCCAGGATTCGCCTTTCCTGGGTGCTTTTTGCCAGGATCTCACCTTCAGCCCAGAATCTGGAAGCCCGCAGCCGCCTCCATCAGGCTCGTCGGGAATTGACTTTACTCCAAGGCATCGCGGTCCTAGTTAGGTACGATCCTTGGAAGAATGGATAAAATAGCCACCCAAAAAAGTGTCTGCGAAGCTGACATCTTTCAGAGAAGTGGGTTGAGAAAGGCTACTTGCAAAGGACTGTGGGCTCTGCCACGTCCCGTCCGCTCCCCTCACCTCTATGTTTCCCACAGCAGCCCCGGGGCCCCCCAGCGCTTCCAGCCTCCTTCGCTGGGGAATAAGACCTTGGGAACTTCAAGACCCAACAGCTATTTTTGACTGCTTTCCAGCTTTTAATAGTTTCACCAACCACACCACTGTCGCCATCTGGAATGAATGCAGCTAGCTTTGCAAATAGTTTCCCAAAACACTCAAACCAGGAGACGTTCTCAGCAGCTCGTGGCTTTTGCGAGGGCCCCAGTGGCAGGTGCTCATGCTATCCTCTCCCCCTACAAGCGCCCCTCAGGGCTCCCGCACTTACCCAGCAGACGTCCCTCATTGAAACAAAGGCAGATCCTGCCTCCTTCCTCCTCAAATTCCTTTCTGCCCCTCAAAGGTGCAGAATCTCGTGAGATCCTAGCAAATGTGGGGTTTCTAAATGACTTCCTGCCTCTGAACAGGTTCATGTTTGTTTTCAGGCCCACCTCCGTGTCGAGAGTGAGTTGGGCTCCGGTTTAGTTAGATTTTTAAAAGGATTTATCTGGCGGCCGCTGTGTGTGAACTTGCTCGTTTCCATGTTCGGCAAGATTCACTTTTGGCTCGTTTTGAGACAAGCCACTGAACCACAAAGAACAAAACTGTGGCCAGAGACACAAGGGAGAGTTAGCAATGTCCTTGCTGTCAGCCACCTGTTCATTATAGGGATATCCTTTGCTGATGCATCCCGATTGGGACCTCTCTGTTATCATTCATGACCTCCTAGAAGACAAAAAGTACCAGCTTAATTCAGAGGAGCGCTCACTTCTGCCCCACATTCATCCACATCTGGGTCCTGATTGGGGGGCTCTGGGACAGCCATCGGTCTGTTTTGGGAGCTGAGATGCAGGCTTCTTTCCTGAGTGTGAGGGAAGATGCTTGTCCACAAGCTGCATGAATGGAAACGCCTGGTATGAGGTGGAAGCTGTTGGGGCCATAAGCAGAGGGTCCCAAACCTGGTGCACGTCAGACCACACCCAGGGGGTGTGCTTAAAACAAAAAAAACCAGAGCAGTAGAATCAGAAACCACAGGGTGGGGCCTGGAAGCATGAATCCTGTAACAATCTCATCAAGTTACGGACAGCAGTGTGTCCATTGATGTAACTGGGGGACCTTTGGCTGAAAGAAAAATCTAAAGCTTGAGCGAAGTCTTCAAGCCTGTGGATATTTGTATGAGCAAGAAGGTCTGAGTAAGAAGTAAATGCCTGTAAGGCAGAGAAGGAGCTTTTCCTTTGGGAATTTGATGAAGCAAGAGGACAGTCGGTGGTCATTCAGCCCTGCCTGAAAGCAAAGAGGCCCTCCCAGACAGAGCTCACACCTACATAGATGCCCCAGCTTTCTCCCTCCTCCATCTCTGGGACCTGCAGAATAGGCATCGCCTCGGAGTTTGCTTAAAACGCATCACCTCAGAGTTTGGTTAAAATCCACCCCAGACCTGCTGATTCTGAGCCTGCATTTTTTTTTTTTTTTAAAGATTTT